TGGGTGAAGTTTGCAGGAGACTTCTCCAGTGAGTTGGCTTATTTGAGTGGGTATAGAGCATCAGTCTTTAGTGTAAACAGCATGAAACACATCCAGATGGAAACAAATCTTCCTGTCTCTGTTTTCTCACTGCTCCTAAAAGGGTTTTGCTCAAAATCATGGTCATGTTTGGACCTTTTGTGTTGTCTTCTGTGGATCATGTGTGCTCTTCTCCATTGGTTAAATAAGTATGTAAAGAAAACCAAGTACCATTCAGTAGTGCTTTTCATCAGTGCTGTGTAAATGAAAGTATTTTTCCTTTGCCTTTCCTAAATGCAGGTTGTTAGTGGAGTTTCCAGCGACTGGAGGCCTTGTGACATCTTGGCAGTTTCAACCAGTGAGGCTGATCCATTACATCTCCACGTTTGATTTTTTCCTGGCAGCCTGTGAAATGGCATTTTGTCTCTTTGTTCTCTATTATATGGTGGAAGAGATCTTAGAAATTCACATTCATAGACTGCACTACTTCAGGAGTCTTTGGAATTGCCTTGATATCCTCATCATTGTGGTAAGTAACCTTTATAATGAGGCTAAAATTGCTTTCTGGAATGTGTTTTGTGGGAGAAATTAATGACCTCAGCAACCTGCTCTGGTGGGAGGTGTCCCTGCCCCGGGCAGGGGTTGGGACTGGATAATCTCTAAGCTCCATTCCAACCCATAAAATTCTCTGATTCTTCTCCATATCTGATACAGACCATTGCTTTCAAGCAAGAAAATCATCTGCTTTCAAGTAGTGATTTTCTCTTTGTGGAATGGCACTGGCGTTTGAATATGTTTGTGAAGAACCACAAAGAGATTTATTGTGGTATTAAAATACTCACCAGCTAATACCAAGCCTGAAGAAGTGCCTCCAAACTGTAGAGGTCTAGCAGCTGCCAGGGCTGCTTCCTTGGTAAAGAGGACAGTGTTGCACAGCATTAATTTTTGTGTAGCAGAGAATCTGAGCTTTGAATGGAAAGCTGCACAATATAATTCTCTTTGGACTCAGCTGTGCTTGTTAAAAGTATACAAAGCCAGAAGTGCTGAAGCACTTCCAGTCCCACACTTGTTTTGTATCTCCAGGCTTGGGTGAACCAAAGGTATCAAGTGTTGAAACTGGTGTCTGTAATCCAGAGAAATCATACTTACCTCACAGTAAATGAAGGACCATTCAGGAGGGTATTTACCTGAACTCTCTGCTGTTTGTTGTACTTAATGGTGGGGCAGGAATAAGATGCTTTGCTCTTACAGTCAGTGAAGAGGATTAAAGTGTAAAATTCAGCTCACACAGGGTCACAATTCTCTGTTTATACCTTGCCTGAGGGACAGTGTTTAAATGTAGGATGAGGTCCTTATGGCTCCATATACTTGGTGAAGTGTTCACTTACACTAAGGAAAAGCAGATTTGCAGAGGTCAAAGCAAGAACTTCACCTGGATGGTTAAACAACTCCTCTGCTGTTGCTTGTTCTGTGCAATACTGGTCAGTCTGGAGGAGCTCTAGTGCCTTTTTGGCTGCTGCTGGTTTTCTGCTCTACTATTTTTCACCTTTGTCTTTTTCAGTCGTCATATTTCCTTCCTTATGTTTTCTTCTCTGTGACAGCTTCCTTTTTCTGACCCTGCTAGGTGTCACTCTCATCTTGTTCTTCTGCTGTGGCAAGAAAATGACTTCTAAATCTTCTTACTCCCAGACTGTTTGTCTGTACCCTAGTACTGTAATGGTTTTCCTGGGAAATGCATTTCCTGACATGGCCAGAAATTGTCTGAAATAGCAAGTACTGGGCTGTTACATTGCTCCTGAGTGAAAGGTGGTGACACCTGAGTCTCCTTCAGCCCCTCCAGCCTGGCCTTAAGGACTGGGGATTCAGTGACCAGGGGCTTGACCCTGAAGGACTGTGAGAAGCTTTTATCAGTGGTTCTTACCTTTTTTTTTCCCCTCTAGGCTCTGTGCAATCTCTAGATGTCACTTCTCTGTTTGAAGCTTTAGCTTTGGAGTCAGGACACCTTGAAAACACTATTATTTGCCTTTGCTTAAAGGCAAAGCTCACTTTGTGGTAGTGCTATAAATAACATGAAATTTCTCATCTCTTCATCTGGCTAAAACAATGTGGTTTAAAATCCTAATCACCTTTTGTCTGTTCCTTTTGTACTCAGCTCTCTGTGGTAGCTATAGGAATCAGCATCTATAGGACATCAACTGTTGATATGCTCCTGAAGAAGCTGCTGGAAGATCAGAACTCATTCCCTAATTTTGAACCTTTGGCCTATTGGCAAATGCAGTTCAACAACATCACTGCAGTCACTGTGTTTTTTGTCTGGATCAAGGTAACTACACGACACAAATCCTTGTTCTAACATTAGAATCTAAGCAATATTCTGAGTTAATTGTGATACATTATTTGAGGCTTAGCCATGTTCCTCCCCAAACTGGTGATGTGAGAAAGTCAGAACACAGAGGTAACTTGTTGCAGATGAAACACAAGGTTGGAATTTGCCACAATTTCAGTCAGCTCTTGTTTTAGTCTAGAAGACGTAGGCAGTGCTGGTGTTTTGTCAGCAGACAAGTTAGGAACTGGTTTTATTACTTCTCAGTTGTTAAGTCAGTAATTCTCACTGGGCACTGCTTTATCGTAGCCTGGTTTAACTGTGCCCATTTGATGTATTCCAAACTTCTGAGTCATTACAAGAGTTGGAAAAGCAAGGCCAGTTCATTTGAAAACTGGGTATATTGCTCTAGTTAAACTTGATCTCTTCGTTTTGCTGCCTGTTTTCCACGAATACTTCTTTTCATGCCAGTACTCATTGTCTGCCACCTGGGTGTGTAAAGTTGTAGAGGAACGTTAAATTCATAAACCAGCAGAGGGAATGGAAGATCAATAAGTGCATTTTCACTCTGATACTCCAAACTTAGGGTCATCAAGCAAGTTAGCTAATCTCTTACTATTTCATAAGATGAAGTTGCATCTAATTTTCCCATCATGGTTTAAGAAATCAAGTGGCTCAGTGTAAGAAATAGTGGTAAACTGCAGAGTTACAGAGTAATATAGTTTGGAGGGGACTTGGGGATTTATCTCGTCTGGCCACCTGCTCAGAGCAAAGTCAGCTGTGAGATCTCCATTTACTTCATAACTGACACCTTCCTTGAGGATGGAGATGGATCAATAGGCTTTGGGAAGTGTTTGGGTAATGTTGCCCTGAAGCCAATCTACCAAAGAGAGGAGTGAAGAAACCAAACTAAACCCACACCCAGACAAGAAGTTTGCCTTCTCCAAAGAATTTTCTCAAGTCTCAGTGTTTGTAGGAAGTGATGTATTTCTAGATGTAGTTTCACTGACTTTATCTCCAGCCATGCAAAAGGCTGGAGAGCAATAGTGTCAAGAAATTGTCTTCCTTGTCTTTAAAAGTTTTTCTTCTTTTCTTAAATTTGTGAACTTCAACAGGACCATGAGTCAGTTGTCCACCACCATGTCTCGCTGTGTCAAAGATGTCATTGGCTTTGCTATTATGTTCTTCATTATTTTCTTAGCCTATGCTCAGTTGGCCTATCTTGTCTTTGGCTCTCAAATCGATGACTTCAGCACTTTCCAGGACTGCATGTAAGTAAAGCTCTAAAAAGGTGCAAAGGATTTCTGGGTGCATTGGTAAATGGATTTGGTTGCCTCAGCAGAGGCAAATCCCATGACATCCATCTAGACAGAAGCTGCAGACAAATAACTTGAGTTCAGTCATATCATTTGTGATTTCGAACATATCACTGCTGATACAGCCCAGTAACAAATGCATTTGATTGTATAACATTTTTAGCTCAGAAAGTCTTTTTGCTGTGAGGTTAAAAATTTGCTATAGTCAGATCACTGAGCAGGTTTTGGTAGGTGGAAGTGCCATGGTTTTTACAGCAGTTGGTCACATTCCTAGGCAAAGCAATGACTCTGTGTTCAGCAGTTTCAGGTTCACTCACATGTTGTGTGCAAAGTCACTCCGTGTTCCTGGTAGTGTTGGTAGTTGGTTGACTCAGAGTCCATTTAAGCCAAATAGAAAATTGTAAGTATCTGTGGAATCCAGGAGAGAGATAGGACTTAGTATAAAGCTGTACATAAGTTTTTCCTTTATTGATTTGGTGCAATAGAACCTAATTGTAACTGAAGAATTAACAGGTTGTTCAGTAACTGGTTTTCCCCTTACTTTGGGGCAGTGTTGGAAAGAATTTCCGTGGAGAAGTGGAGGAACTTGAAATATGCTGATGGTGCTGTGAAGAGACAAGTCCCTTCCCAGCCTTGGCATTCCAGCCAGGACAAGGGGCAATGGGCACAAATTGAAAGGGGGAAATTTAGGATAGATATCAGGCAGAGGCTTTCCCTGTGAGGGTGGTGAGACACTGTCCCAGGTTGCCCAGGGAGGCTGTAGCTGCCCCAACCCTGGCAGTGTTCACAGCCAGGTTGGCTGAGCCTTGAGCAACCTGCTCTGGTGGGAAGTGTCCCTGCCCAGGGCAGGGGTTGGGGCTGGGTGATCTCTAAACTCCATTCCAACCCTTAAAATTCTATGATTGTCTAGGCAGCTCTAGAGGGAGAGGCTTGGGTTGTATGTATGCAAGAGAGATGGGAAGCCTCCAAGCTTCCCAGCTGTAATCATGGCTTTGCTCTGTTTCCTGTTGACCCCATTGTCAGTTGTGACCAAAAGGCAGAACAACCACCCTGGTTTGGTTCTGTGTGTTTGGCACCTGATGTGAGATTGGTTATGCCTAGTGATGGATGTGATGACTTGATTATTGCAGTGCCTGATCAAGTGTTACAGTAGTGCAGAGCTGTCTGCTGTCCATCAGTCAGACTGTCAGAGTGAAATACTTTGAGAACCCTTGCACAGCTCCAAGAATGTTTTCCTCAACTCCTGGCTGTATTTTGTGTTTTTAAGATTTACTCAGTTCCGCATCATTTTGGGAGACTTCAACTTCACAGAGGTTGAGGAAGCTAATCGAATTTTGGGACCCATTTATTTCACTACATTTGTGTTCTTTATGTTCTTCATTCTTTTGGTATGTACACTCTGGGAGGGGTAAATGGCTATTTTTGCATCTCTTGGTCTTTGATTTCTACTGCTGTTTGGGACTTTTCATGGTGCTGGTGTGGCCCATGTAGGGTCTGACTGTCACATGACTTGGTCACTTACACTCTTTATTTTTCTTCATTTACAGTAGGTTTGCATTGTATTTTGTTGTCATTCCCATGCTCCACATTGTGGGGTTTTTAATTTATCTGTTTTTATTCCTGTAAAGACTTATGTGTAAAATGTGAATAGTGCCTGGTTGGCATCACAGCAAACCTGAATCTCTTGGGGACAAGTAGCTGTGCTGTTCCAGACAGGCTCTGATTTCATACAGTGCTCTGATGTGTGTTAGGCTGTGCTTGCAACAGCTTTGTTCATGCACACAGCACAGAGCTGAGCTGAGAGAAGAGCCTAGTTCTGCAGCAGTGCAGCTTTCAGATCTTTGGCTAGCAGGTGAAACAGGAGGTGATTTTCCCCCTCTGCTCTGCTCTCCTGAGACCCACCTGGAATACTGCACACAGTTCTGGTGTACTCAACTTGAGAAGGACATGGAACTGTTGGAGCAAGTCCAGAGGAGGCCAACCAAGTTGCTAAGAGCACTGGAGCATCTCCCCTATGAGGACAGGCTGAGGGAGTTGGGGCTGTTCAGCCTGGAGAAGAGAAGGTTGTGTGGAGACCTCAGAGCACCTTGCAGGAGCTGAAGGGGCTCCAGGGAAGCTGCAGAGGGATCTGTGTTAGGAGCTGCAGGGACAGGACAAGGGGCAATGGGCACAAATTGAAAGTAGAAATTGAGGTTAGATGTTAGGCAGAAGTTTTCCCTGTGAGGGTGGTGAGACCCTGTCCCAGGTTGCCCAGGGAGGCTGTGGCTGTCCCAACCCTGGCAGTGTTCACAGCCAGGTTGGCTGAGCCTTGAGCAAGCTGCTCTGGTGGGAGGTGTCCCTGCCCAGGGCAGGGGTTGGGGCTGGATGATCTCTAAGGTCCATTCCAACCCCTAAAATTCTAGGATTCCATGATATCCTTGGCACAGTGAATCCAATACTTAGTCTTTAATCTGAACAAGTGACCAATCTCTTTTCAGAGTTGGTGCCCCACATGCCAAGTGTCTGGTTGTAAGCTTTCCTTATCTTTAGCCTGAAATACAAGCAGAACTGGAACTAGATTAGAACCTTTTGTTTGTGCTGTTTATTAGAGGATGAATAGTTACCTTGATTCCTCAGGCGTTTCTGTTGCCAGCTGTGCTGCCTGGATTAGTGCACAGTTGTTACCTGTTTGGCCAAACATACAGAGAACATTAAACAGACATGGTTTTGTGCCACTGCTGTGAACCCTCTTTGCAAGGTAATGCTACAGTTATGTTAGTAACCAATAGTTTTGGTTAAAAGCTGCTGCACATCAAATTTTAGTATCAAGCTCTTGATGTTAGTGCTTTTTAAATAGTCCATCACTTTCTCCTGGCCCTTCAAAACAAGTTAATGTATAGGTTTGCACAGGAAAGTCAGAGGTCTGCACAGGAAGGTGATAGGGAGTTGTAGGGCTCAGACTTGTTGACATTTCAGATTGGGCCTTTTGCTTTTTCTGTCAAACAGAACATGTTTCTGGCCATTATCAGTGATACATACTCTGAAGTCAAACTGGACATGGCCCAGCAGAAGGCAGAAATGGAACTGTCTGACCTCATCAGAAAGGTAAATGTAACGTTTTGGTTGTTTGATTTCTCATTCCTCACACCTGACCTTCATAAAACGCTGTGTAAACTGTGCCAAGTGAGTCTGGCAGTGGCTGATGGAAACAAACATCTCGGTTAAAATACAGGAGTCTGATCTGAGGGTAAATGAAATGAGTGAAAACTTTCCATCACAATGTCTTTCAGTCATCTGAGACTTTGCGTTGAATGATCAGCCTGTTGAGGATCACACAGTATTTCTCTTGTATATAGAAAAATGCTGAACTGATGAAGCTAAATTAGGATTTGTTATAATCACAGAACTCAGAATTACTTCAGTGCAGGCAATAAATTGAGGCAGACCTTGATTATTGTGTTGGGAGTTCCCAGAAGCAGCTGCTCTAAACAAATCAGAGCCTGACCTGCATCCTAGTTGAGGAAAAACAAGTGCCCATGGTGTGCTCTGGCATGGATGTGCTACTGTACCATGGTCAGAAGTGGCTAAACACATACTCAGCATGACCTGTAACTCAGAGCTTAAAAGTTGGAGACTTGTTATTAAAACAGAGCAGAGAAAAGTGCAAAGTCCTGCTTTTTTTTTTTTTTTTTGGGATGAGGACTCTTTTCAAAGTCCTTCCTAGAGCTGAGGAATGGGAGAGAAGCAGGATGACCACAGAAAGTTGTGCCTGTTGTGTCAGTGTTATTTAACACTCAATAACTGCCAAAGGTGCTTTGCTGGGACAAAATGCTTCATGAATTGCAAATGGAATGAGGAAAGCTTTACCTCTGAGTGCAGAGGTGTTTAAATGCTGAAATAAAAGGTGGGTAAGCTGGAGGAAAAGACTTCTGGAACACACTGAATGATAGTATACACCGGCTGATTTTTGTAACCAAAACAGTGATTAGAACTCAAATCTGAACATCTCATGACAAACCACAACATTTCACTTTTTCAGGGCTACAACAAAGCCATGATCAAACTGAAATTGAAGAAAACTACTGTTGATGACATTTCAGAAAGCCTGAGACAAGGTGGAGGCAAACTAAATTTTGATGAGCTGCGGCAAGATCTGAAAGGGTAGGGGAGTTGTTGCTTGTTATCCTGAATGGTACCCCCAGAGACATGTGATGTTGAGCTTTGGATGTGATTCTTCTCTTGCTTATGTGATGTTTGCAGGAGGACACTAATATGAGTAAAGACACACAGCAGAGCAGTGGCTGCCCCAACCCTGGCAGTGTTCACAGCCAGGTTGGCTGAGCCTTGAGCAACCTGCTCTGGTGGGAGGTGTCCCTGCCCAGGGCAGGGGTTGGGGCTGGATCATCTCTAAGGTCCATTCCACTCCCTAAGATGCTGTGGCTCTGTGAAATCAGGGAGGTGTAGCAGGAATTGTGAAGGAATAGGGTGCAGTGTAGACGAGTTTGGTGCTATTAACTAATGGAAGGTGAGTGGTTTGTATCTGTGTTGTGAATGTATAGGTGGTGCTGGGATCAATCATGTCTTTATCTTGGGGATGAAAGTCTGTTTGAAGGCACGTGTTTTCCAATACTCAGAAGTTCCTTCAGCTTCTGGACAGTGGAAATTAAGGGGACTGCTTTTATTGCCTTTTCAGGAAGGGGCACACAGATGCAGAGATTGAAGCAATATTTACCAAATATGACCAGGATGGAGACCAGGAACTGACAGAGCATGAACATCAGCAGATGAGAGATGACCTGGAGAAAGAGAGGGTGAGCTCAGCACTAGGAGTGGTATGCCCCCAGCACTGCCTGCCAGCCTTGCTTTCTGTGCTGCTTTGCTTCCTCAGAAGGATTCTCTTCCTACCCTTCACATTTTCTGTCACCCCTGGCTGTCTAAGCAGGACTGGAAAGAGGCCTGGGGGAGCTGGTGGAGGGCAGGAGGTCTTAGACCTTGATGCCGCCATTCCTCATGTACAGGCTCTTCTCTCTCTCTCTCCCTGGCTTGTGTTTTCACAAAGGAGGATCTAGACCTGGACAGGAGCTCTCTGCCACGTCCTCTGAGCAGCCGCAGCTTCCCCCGGAGCTTGGATGACTCTGAGGAGGATGAGGATGAAGACAGCGGACACAGCTCCAGGAGGAGGGGCAGCAGCTCTAGTGGGGTTTCCTATGAAGAATTCCAAGTGTAAGTTTGTCCTGATGGGGACAATTCTGCCTTCTTTCCATTGTATGGAATTCTCTCCAATGTTATGTTTTTATGGTGCATAAGTTGCTCCTTTTAGTAGCTTCCAAATAATATCTGAACTGGAAGTGCTTTAGAGAACCTCATGGGAATTGCTTAGGAATTGAAAAATCAAAATAAACAAAGAAAAAACCAGCAAAAAACCTGTCCTTAAAACCCGCTCCTTGAAAAGACAGAGAAAACGGTCACTTTACAATGATGACTCGAGAGTTTTCTGATCTTTTAACTAGTAAAACCTCAAGGTTATTTTGAGAACTCCAACTGCTGTTTTGAATAAGATTGAGTTACTTGTGAGTGTGTGTTTTGTCTGACATGGTGGTGGGGAGGTCTCCCTGCCCAGGGCAGGGGGTTAGCACTAGATGATCTCTAAGGTTTGTTCCAACCCCTAAAATCCTATGATCTCCATAGGAATTAATTATAGCAACACTAGCTGGATAAAGAGTTGTGTAACTGGAATTTGTGGGACCAACAAATTTGCATGAGGATGTCCTAAAAGCAGTGAAAACAGAGTGCAGTATGTATTTCTTCCCCATCTTCTTTACCCCTGTGCTCTTCTTCTTGCTGTGCTGTCCCTTGTCCCTCCTGGACAGTCAGACTTTGTGGGAAGTCAGATGTGTGCTTGGATAAAAACACTGTCTCATCCCTGTCTGCTGTGTGTGTTGCCATGCTGGAGGGATGCTGGCTGGGCAGTGTCAGTCCCTGAAGCTCCCCCTTGCTGCCCTCAGGCTCATGAGGAGGGTGGATCGCATGGAGCATTCCATCGGCAGCATCGTGTCCAAGATCGACGCCGTCATTGTGAAGCTCGAAGCAATGGAGAGAGCCAAGCTGAAAAGGAGAGATGTGTTGGGAAGACTCTTAGATGGAGTGACAGAGGTAAGAAACTCAATTTCTGCAGTCTGGTCACAACCTGTATGGCTTCTTCCTGCTGCTTGGCTTGGGAGGATCAAGGAGTGGTGGTAAAGGTGAGGTGTTTCAGCAGTGGCCAAGTGATTCCAGTTACATGGTAGGAAAACATGAAGTTTAAACCCTGACGTTCTGGGGACACGACCCAAGTTTCAGAGAGGACAGTCTGACTTGCAGCAGGTCTGTGTCACCATTGAAACCTGTGATGTGAGCAGCAGTGATGCTCAGTAGCTGCTGGAGCAGCGTGGTCATCCCTTGGTGTCTGTTGGGATTCATGCAATGCTCGTGATGGACTACTTGTTAGAGATTCATCCCAGCAGGCCCAGCCTGCTCTTCTTCCCTGTTCCTTCTGGGGTTGTGCATAGCAGGTGACTTCTGTCACCAGGGCTACCTGACTTCTATTGCTTTCCCTCCCACCTTCTCTTTCTTGAGGGCCTGTTGGCCACCAGTGGGAGAAATGTGTTCTTTCTGTGGATGCTGTCAACTTCCTGATGGGGGCAAGGACACCCAGCACGGGGTTGTCAGGAGGTGGGTGAGCCAGGCTGTCTTGGTGGGTTATGTAGGTCAGACCTGCAGCTGCCCTGTCACAGGAATGGTGATCCTGGCTATTACTGCTGTTCATCCTTGAGGTAGGTGGAGCTTCTTCGTGAGTGTGCTCTTCTTACAGAGCTTCTCACTGCTCTTCAGTATATTTGACATTTTTGAACATGGATTTGAATATGAAAACTGCAATACCAATAGTGCTGTCCTAAGTGAAGGTGACAAACTGGGCATGGCATCAGTGGAGATAAAAGTTTTGCCGTGGTAGGTTCTCCACTAACCTATGGAAGTAGAGTGGTATAAGAATTTCCCGTGGCTGTACAGGATTTTGCGTAGGCTGCAGTTTGTAAGCTGCACTTCCAGCTCGTGCCTCTTCATGTGTTTAGGATGAAAGATTGGGTCGTGACAGCGAACTCCACAGGGAGCAGATGGAGCAGCTGGTGCGAGAGGAGCTGGAGCGCTGGGAGTCGGATGACACAGCGTCCCAGATGAGCCACCGCCTGGGGACTCCTCTGGGCCTCAACAGCCAACCTCGCTCCAGGAACTCCAGGCCATCCTCTTCCCAGTCAGATGGCATCGATGGGGCAGGAGGAAATGGGGGAAATAACATCCATTTGTAGCTGATTCCAGGTGTTTCAGGTCAGTATTCAGCCAAGCAGATTGACTGCGCTGCTTCCTAGCATGAGGTGGATCCTTCCGATCACACCTCTAAGGACAATTTCCACTGGGGAGCAAAAGGAAATGTTTTCCTCATAAGTCATTTTCAGGCCTATGTAAGCCATGTGAGACTGTTAGCCTTGGGAACAAAAATGCAGGGAACAGAATGGATATCAGGGGTGACAAAACCTACCTGGGCAGGCATTTGGTTCCATCCATCTGTTGTGGGAAACACTTTCAAGAGGGCATCAAGCTTCAGACCAAATACTGTGGCTAACACTAAAATGAGAGCTCTGAGTTTGCTGCAAAGGCTCAGAGTTTTCTGAGGGTTTTTTTCTCTTGGAAAATGAGATTTTTTTAAAATGCTTTTAAAGGCAATTTTTAAAAGAAGATGCCTCAGTTCATCTTCTCATTCATCATAACAGTTTTCAAAGAGAGAAACCAGCACTTTGTTAATTTGAGTTTCTACCTTTTCTTCTGAGTTTTTCTTGGTGTATTGACATTTTGCTTACAAAATTCTCTTTGCCTGTTTTTGAGAAACGGAAGTTTCAGCTTTAAACAGAAGGAAGTGCCCTTAGTTTGTACAGCTGCAAGTCACACAGTTCTGTAGTAGAAACTGAATGCATTATAATTACCATTTCAGAAGTAATATTTGTGCCTCTTCACACCCATCATAATTTTCAGCTCTTTCAGTGCCCATTTTTTAATGCAGTGTTCTCATGATTCCAATGTTCTGGGGATAAACATTCCAGAGGTTCTTGGGTAAATATGGTTACTTTGCAGAAAACAGACTATTTAAAAGCACAGAAAATAGAAAAACACTAACTCTTCCTGGGGTGTTGGAGGGAAAGGGCAGAGAAGTTGCTGAGAGTTGGGAAAAATCTGATCTCCTGCTGGGTGAAGTTCTATTTGTGTCTCAGCTATGTGGTCTGTATTTACCTTTTACAGAGCTGTGTAAAATTGTTAGGTACATTTCTACATACCCTTTTCTGCTGAGGTGTAGCACATGATTCTTTTGGAGAGGAGTATAATCACTGATGTTTAGTGTCTAAGTTCCACTGATTTCTGTGGCATAGCAGCTCTGGTTTTGAAAGGAGATGCAACGTGGAAATGATGTTGGTTTCCTACCAACAGTGTTTGGGGTTTTGCTAGCAATGTTTCCATCTCTGCAGGGCTGGGCCAGGAAGGAGGTTGTGCATTGTGCTTTGTCCCTGAAGATGGCACTTGTCTTGGAATTAAAGGCAGAGTTGGTGTAAAGGATAAGGGAAAGCTACATAGTCAACCCATCCTAGAAGTTAGTAGGGTATATAGAGGAGAAAATGCCTATTTAACAAAGTATAAGTAGCATATATCATGTTGGTGCCTTTTGTTTCCAAAAGCAGTTGTTGCTGGGGATTAGCACCTCATGCTCGTGGGAATACTGTCCAGGCAAAGCTTACACCTTGATGTGTTCTGACAACAGCATTGCCTGCATGAGCAGTGGCTCAGAGATGCTCCTCTAAGCAGAGAACTTACTAAAATTAAACAAACTTCATGCCTTTCCCTAATTTTTAAGGTTATAAGAAACCATATGTAGAGAAACCTAATTAAAGTAAGGTGGAGATGGAGGGAATCATAGAACTTTAGGGGTTGGAATGGACCTTAGAGATCATCTAGTCCCAACCCCTGCCCTGGGCAGGGACACCTCCCACCAGAGCAGGTTGCTCAAGGCTTCATCTAACTTAGCTTTGAAAAACCAATGTCTTTGGCCAACTGACTCAGCCTGAATTGTCTAGCAATTAGCTGAGACCATATGAAGAGTACCCTGTGTTGAGATTTGTGCCTGTGACCTGCTGAGGTCTGTGGCAGGAGGGATTTGGGAGTATGCAGAGTGATGCAGTGATCAGCTGGTGAGGCAGAGCCTTCCTGGGGGCAGGAAAGCAATCACACCTACTCCTCTCTGTGTGGTTTTACATAGGTCTCCTGTAAAACTGTGTCTGGCCAAACGTAAAGTCAAACATGCAGTTCATCTTCTATTTGTACCATATGTGTATTCTGAATATATTTGCCTTAATAGCTGGATCTGAGGTATATTTCTCTGTAACGTGTCGTTACTTAAGAACAAACTTCATCTTGAAGTGCACCAAGTTTTCCTGAGGTTCCTGTGTGTGTTGACACTGGGCCTTGCAGTAAGTGCATTGGCACTTGACCCATGGTACAGACAATGTATTCATTGGGGTTTCAGTTTTAGATTGTGATATCGTTTGTCACTTATTCCAGTGTAAGGATTTTGCATAGTAATGTACAGTGTTTGCTCTTATTAGGAAGCTGTTAATTATGCAAGTCTAATATAATGATCAAGAATGTATTGATCTGTAAAACTGAGCACTTTACTTCCTAATAAACATTTTATGTAATCTGTGAAGCAAATGTTGTTCCTGACACTTGGTTTGTTTATAGGGGAATGGGATGAATCCTGCATTTATTCATGTTATTTTTATCTCATACCTTATTCTCAGATCCAGGACCTCTCTGGGCAGCCTGTTCAGTGCTCAGTGACTGCACAGGAAAGAAGTTATTCATGCAGATCAAATCATCAACAGGAAACTTTCACAGAGCTCGAATTTGTTTTAATTTCTGTTCAGATTTTCAGACTTCTGACAAAAATCCTTCCAGTGAGAAGAGTTAGACTTTGTTTTCAGGGAAGTATTATACACATTTAAGTGTAAAATGTAATGTATTATTAGGTGGATGCAGTGAAGTTAATGCTAACAGTGCCATGACTGCTAGAAGTGCCTGAGCGTGCTGCACAGGCTGCTGCTTCTCACTGCTCCATGGCAGTGGTGTGATGGAAACTCCAAGAAACATTCCAAACAAAAAAAATGCTCCTTTCAGGCAAAGCTTTCAATTGCCAGGACATTCCCAATCGTGAGGTAAGCACACTTGTGTACTGCTATCAGCTTTTCTTGCAGCCAAGCTGGACACTGGCTGGACACACAACATCTCCACCTTCCCACGCCCTGGAGATGTGTCTGTATGCCAAGAGATGCAGCTGTGAGAACTTTTTGCTGCAGGAAGGCAGAGCTGGAGAGCACTGCAGACACTCAGCATTCAGCTCTGAGCTGCCAGGAGCCACTGCTGCGCACAGAGGATCCAGGGAGGCCTCCCTGAGCAGCCTCCTTCCCCAGCTGGTGCCACCCAACCTCTTCATGCCTTCCCAACCAACTCCTGACACAGGACGAGACAGCCTCAGGTTTGAAAAGCACTTGGCTGAAGTAAGTGTTCATATTTATCATCTAGAAAAGGCATTCAGCTGTCCTGGTTTTAAAGTTGTTTTATGTTACTGAGTTTTCAATGCTGTTATGGTAAAGATACCAAGCCATGCTTGACTGATTAGTCATAGAATTTTATGGGTTGGAATGGAGTTTATTTAGATGGTTGGATACTAGGAAGAAATTTTTTACAGAGAGAGTGATCAGGCACTGGAATGGTCTAGTAACCACAGTAGGGTTGGACTTGATGATCTTGGAGGTCTTTTCCAACCCTGTTGATTCTGTGATTCTATGAAAAACACACCCCCACTGCTCTTTAGCATCACTCTATTAGTTCCAGCAAGTGGAGCAAGTGGAGCATTCATTGCAAGGAACAAGCAATTCCTTTCATTGACTAGCACTGAAAATCTGCAAAACTTATTTCTGTGCTGAAAGCAACAAAATGTAAAAGTATTGTGTAAGATTTTTGTTTTCCTAAAGTTTCCTTCAAAGGAATTGATTCAAATGAGTTTTAATAACTCCTTCAGAAGTAACAACCTTCAGCTTGTGATTAGTTATTTTAAAGCAGTTCAGGGAGAGGATGTAAAAGGAAAATCTTCAACTAGGTTGAATAGTTTTATGTAAGAGCTAAATATAAGTCTTTTAAAGTTTCCTAGACTTCAGATTAAATCATTTACTGTTCACCGTGAGCAAACTGAACCAGGAATTTTCATCCAGTTAGTGATATAATCAGGATCATTGAATTCTGTGCATCACACTTTTTACTGCTAAATGCAAGTGACTAAAATCTCGGGAAAACAATGGTATCAGGCAGTTCTGTCATCTTTAAGCCTGAGCAATGCAGGAGTCTTAACACCATAAACTACTTGATCCATGGTACCCTCTGGCTAAGATCCTGCCGAAAGGAGCAAACGTCAGGGATAATTCAGCCCCTAAGCCAATGGCAGTGGAAAGCAGGGATCATATCAAGTCCAATTTGGAGCAGATTAATGAAAAAAAGGCTTATGGAGCCATAGACCCCAAAAAGAATGCTGGTCAAATCCATCCCTAATGAGTGTGGGGAGATGGAAAAGATTGTGAGAAACAAGTCAGGCCCATTAACCTTGGGGTATTAGGAGATCCTTGGGAGCCTAATTCTTGTCACAAGGTCAAGCTTTTACAAAGCAATTATTAAGGATCTTCATAGTATCAACATACAGACACACACACACATACTCAAAGCCTTTTAACCTCAGGGATTCTGGACTCTGTTCCCTTCTCCTAATCATTTTTTCCTCCCCTGCTTTCATTGTTTGTAAAGGTGTGTTTTACATTTCCTATGGAGATGATGTGTCTCCTGCTCTGTGCAAGGAATCTCATTGTTTTAGTCACAGACAGAAGGAGAGAACCAGATATACCATATCATCATAGAATGCTTTGGGTTGGAAGGGACTTTAAAGATCATCTAGTTCCAACCACCTTTCCATGGGCAGGGACACCTTTCCCGAGAATATGTAAAGTAGAATGCTGAGTGAAAGGAGAAAAATCAAGTCTTAATTTAAAGCCTGTAGTGTGACAGAGAAGTCTGACATGATTACTACTGTGATTTCTCATGCAGCTAAGGTATAGCATGTTACACATCTCATTCCAGAGCTGCAGAGCTACTGCTGTCAGTTCAGTGGTGTGTGAGCATTCCCACTGAAATCCCTGAGAGTAACTCAGGATAGTCTGTGGTTCAAAGTCTTTTAGAGAAATAAGGCCAAGTATGTTTGTTTTGTATGACCTACACAAACTAGGGCAAACATTGCAGGAACAGTGAGATTAACAGCCCAAGAAAGGCTGCAAAATTTTCTTCTATACATATTTATGCATTTGCTATGCACAACTTTGCAGATAAAGAAGGAGAAGAGCATTAGTGCACATGGCCAGGGCAAGGCTGGCCTGGCAGGAAAGGATTGCTGCAGTCTCTGTGCTCTTACAAATGTGGTACCATCCTCTTTGGTCATGCACTTGAAGTTGTTCACCATGAAAAAGACTAAGAGCTCAGGGTAGCAGCAATAACAAGACAGTGAAGATGACTATTATAGTAGTGCCAGGTTAATGGTTGGGCTTGATGATCTTAGAGGTGTCCTACACAGTCAGCTTTATTTAACAGACAGTGCTTCTACAACTTGAGCTGGGTAAGAAGGATTTGATGGCATCAGTAAGTACACTCTAGAGCAATAATCAAGAAACAAAAGGGTGTGAGACATGCACTGGATGGAGAGGATTTTGTCACTGTCTCACTGTGACCACATGAGCAATGAAGACTGCCCTGGAGTCCTAATCAGCATCCCTTGGGACTGAATTCCATGCAGGTGCTGATTAATGTATGGAACCTTGAATTTCTTCAGGTTAAGCCATGAAATAGTTTGAGTGTTTAACACTAAACATAAGTGTACACAGCTAGAGCATGCAGACAGACTGAACAGTCTCTTAAAGAGAGGAACAGTCGTACACTTTTCATGGCCAAGAGGACTGAGCTGTGCTAGAACATTCCTGGTAAGCATTGAGTACACAAGAAAGGCATTATCAGTGTTGCCTCATGTCATGAAAGCACAAAGGAAGGCCTCAAGATCAAGTCAGTGGTACAGTCAACACACCAAACTGCTGAGCAGTGGGAATTGCAGCTTTCCTTCTGGTTTCAGGAGAACTTCTTCATGAAGTGCAGTTTCAGGTAGGCGATGGTGATGAAGATTAGTGTCATGCAGGCAAGAGCCACATGGTTCTGCCACAGCCCCCAGGGACTGGCATCAATGCCTTGGCTTTTCAGGTACTCATCTCCAGTACATGCCCTATAGATAGACAGACACGAACACACTTAGAGACTTAGACAGTTTGGAACATCTAGGAAGATTCCTAGAAGCTGTAGTGTGATTTCCTGTGTATAGTAGGTCAGCCAAACACCTAACACCAGTTACATGTCAAATCTATATATTTATGCATGTATTTATGTGCATTTATATAAACTAAACCAGTTCCTTGTTGATTTTGTATTTGTAAACTTGTTTTTCTTGGAGCTCCAGTTTCCTGTAGGAAGCTGAAGTGGATTTTGTAATACTAAATATGACAACATGCAGAAGATTCTATACAGCCAGAATGCAAAACCCCAGCCAAAACCTTCATTTTCCATGGAAAACCTCACAGATTCTAATGATGATCAGTGTGTATATCTGATACTCAGAGTGATGCTCTAGGGCACTGGAAGTTACTGATGTGGGATTCACTTCAAAGTACCCAAAACACTTACATGGGGCCCATCTCTCGATAGCTGTTGGCACTGTTTGTGATATTGCTGATGCCACAGAAGTTCAGTCCAGACAGTTCATTGATTTCCAAAGCCTTTTAAAAGAAAAGAAATAATGACAATGGAAATTAGTAGGCAAAGGAATGAGACATTAACAAGAGGAGTTATAATGCAATTAAAATTCAGTCTAAAAATGAAAGAATCATCATAGAATCAGAGGATTTATGGGGTTGGAATGGACCTTAGAGATGATCCAGCCCCAACCCCTGCCCTGGGCAGAGACACCTCCCACCAGAGCAGGTTGCTCAAGGCTTCAAGGTAACCCTGTTTACTTTGTGTTGGTTTTGTCCAGCTGCATTGCACTGGATGTAGTTGGTCAGCGTCTCTCTCATATAAGGTGTTTCCAAGGCACAGAAATGAGCTCTTCTAAACGGCAGTGGGGGGCTGGTTGATGAGAAGCCTTTCTTGTTTCAAGGTACTGCACTAAGTTCTGGGGTTGCTACTTAATTGCCTTTCCCTTTGCTCATCAGCCTTTTGCTCATTGCTTATTCAAACTTTGAAGGTTTCTTTAGCAAGAGTAAAGACATTCCTTTCCAGCAAATTTTTTCCAAGCCTGTACCCAGGGAAAATACAGCACTTACTGTCATTCCATAGCGAGGGATGCTGAAGTATTTGAGCCAGGAGAGCCAGGACATGACACTTGTGAGATTGACCAGCAACCCAGAGAAAAGCTAGAGGCAAGAATGACAAAAACCCCACAATAACAACACAAAAAAGCAAATTACATTCTGTTAGCACATGTTCTTCTCTAGCTCTTGACTCTGCCTCTTCAGAAAACAATGAATGGGAAAGCATTTCTGGAGGAAGAAGTTCTTCCCGTGGAAGAACAAGGGAGAGGGAAGGAATCATCTCTCTTACTCAGCTTTGGGCCAGAACCCCTGGTCCTGCTCCCAAAATGAGGAGCAGGGAATGCTTTGCCCTTTACATTAAGCCTGTGTCCTTCCTGCCTGCAGGTCCCACACGGGTTCCCGGGAGCTGCTGCTGCTGCTCAGTCATGTGTGGCTGCTGGAGGTGTGCACTGCCTTTTCCTCATGCATCCTGAGGCTGAGGAAATGAAGATTTGGGCCATGGGTTCAGTGCTGCCTCATTCTTTATGGTTCCAGTCTCCTAACTGCAGCTGTTTGTGTGTAGCCCAGCTGTAACATGCCTGAAAGTGAGCTCTGCAGCCGAGGAGGACATCTAGGGCAGTGATCTCAGGGGGCAGGAGGCTGTAGGGCATGTTCTCAGCCACCTGTATTTGCCTTTTGCAAAGCTAAGGGAGTGTGAACAAATGGAGCTCTAGGTGGCTTTTCTGCTCTCCAGGCCGTTTGCTGGCTGGCACAGCCACAGAGAA